TTTGTTTCTTGTCCTCACGTGGTCAGCTCCCCGCTGACTGAGCAGCATGACCAGCATCATGTTCGCGCTTGAAGAATAATTCCCCAAAAGGTTTACTGTTAGGGCTTCTCACTTCTTTCTTAAGATGTGTCCCCCCGCTCTGTACTGCTGTGTCCGTCTCTGCCTTGCAATCCTTTATATTTATCTCCCAGCTCTGGACGTCGCAAGCTCTAGTTTCGATTTTGAAAACACAAACTGTTTGGGGTCTACGGTGGTGTAATTGTGCCACCAAGGGATCGATCATTCCCATTGCGGCCCGCCCTGAACTCAGGATGCATCTCAGGCATCAATCCTTTCAAGGCCTATTGCTTGACCAGAATTTGATCGCCGAGATTGCACAGCACTATGCATTCTGTCACCAGCAGTTTGGACCTCGGGCCATTGCCAGACACTAAAATGAGCAACATGTTGATTTGCTTCAATTTATGCACCCGTACAAAGAATGCATGCACTGGGCAACCAATCTAGGATCTGGTATTGTGCCGAGTCCAGTCCCAAAAGATTGAATCTTATGTCTGCGGAATGTTGTTTCAATTTACCATCCTGGCAGGCCACGCCATGCATCCACCGAATTTTCCGGTGATGCCTGTGATGAAATGTTCATGGCATGATACCTTTGATTCCAATGTATCTTCAGATATTCACCATCCTGCGTTGGAACATCGTCCGAAGCCCCCACAGCCTAGTCAATTTGTGACCCCTGCACAGACACAGCCAGGTAGAGCTGCAAACACCAAGACATGCTTGCATCGTTGCACGTTCTGCCAAGTTAGCTTCTTGAGTGCACAGGGTTTGACATAACATATGCACCAAGTTCACTCGACCTGCACTCCCTCAGACTCGACCGCAACAGCCCAGGATATGCCATCCAATTCATTGTCAACCTGTCGAGGTCGACCTTCCAAAGGCTCAGCTCCTGACACTCTGGCTCAGGTTCTCAGGTTACCAAGCGCTGGTCCGATCCCTAAGCCCATGACCGTGTTCAAGCGTCCTTTGTGTCTTGAAATGGTTCGGAGAAAAGCAGTTGCTGCCCACCTGAGAACGATATATCAATTTGAACGGCCCAATGAACTTGACCTCAAGCCCAACCGTGACGTCATCCCAGGTCGCCTACCCTGCGCCCATTGCAAGGCCACCTTTAGCGTAGAGTTTGCACTGCGGACACACTTCCAAAAGGCCTCCTGTCCGGTTAAATTGCGTCAGTTTGCCTTAGGTTTGCACTTTGGCCCTGTGTCAAGTTCTACTCCTTTGCCGCTCAGGCAGTCTATGCAAATCGACTTGTAAGCGCCGATCCGGAGTCTCGAAATCCTGACACATTCCTTTATGGCATGTTTAACAGGCATGGAATCTCTTGATCCGTCGTATCCCGCAGCTCATGTCTTCTGTGCCTGTTTGGCCTGAAATTCGACTAGCTTGGCACATCATTTTGGTGAATTGGATCGTGCATTGGCCAGCTTTGCCGCAGGTATGCCTTGATCTTTCATGGATATACAACCTGATGCAATACCTGTGCCAACCACCCCCATCAATTTGAGTTGCTAGTTCATATCCTTTTTCACATTGGGCACACATTGGCCCAAAATATTTGCCTGGATCCTTCTTTGACTTCTCAGCATGTCCGAGAGCATGCAGCCCGACGATCAAAGCTTTGCGGATTTGATGGCCATTTGTGGGGAGCGCTTTGGAAAACGACCGAGAACGGACTCTACTGGGCCGTTCGACCGGAAACCTGGTCTACCTCGCTCCAACAGATCCTCCTGCTCCTCGGACTCTACGGGAGACGCGAGTTGACCATGATGTTAGCACGATTGCGCCTACGACAGGAAGACCAACTCAACGCCTTGGCGATGGACCGGTCGTTCATAGTATTTCTCCAATGTGGCAAAGGCAGCGTGATGCCTATGCTACTCCAGACATCCAAGGATTGGCATCACAATCGCCAGACCGATGGGGTGTGTGTCAAAGGCCTTTTCCATATCTAACGAAATTTGGAGGCCTCCCCAAAGACCGGCTTTATCATCGTCTTTACGATGAGCAATGCAAAGCTCTCTCACCTGTCGGCAGTGAAGGGACACTGTCAGAAGACAATCACGCGTTCCTCGGTGAGGCATGTACGCGTACATGGGCATCTGACAAAGGGAGACGTGAGCCTGGTCAAGTAGCAAACGGCAATGGATGCTGGACATGACCTTATGCATCGGGTGTTGAAGACATATCGGTCTTAGTGCGGCCGGTTGATTGGGTGTTTTATTGGGCCTGGCTAGGTGGAGCCAGCCTGCTGACCAATGTGACGATGGTAGACTTCGTGTTCGACACCATGCATGATGGATACATGGAAACACAACGGGAGTAAGAATGGCTGCAAAATGTCTCCTAATCAAAGCAGGAAAGCCATCAGGGGCCAGTGCTTTCGTCACTGGAAGGTGTTGAAGTTCATGAAGTACATCAGCCTCGGTGAATGGCAAGCTAGTCAGGGCAGGAGGGGTTGAGATTGGTGCTTGAGAGTCCGTGAACAAATCTTGAAAATATTGAGTCAAACGTTCAAGTTCTTGGGCTTGGGACAATGGTGCACGATGCAAATCAAACATTTGAATCCGCCTGAACATTTGCTTTGGGCACAGAGTACGGATACGCTTGTATCAATCATGCAATCGGTTCTGCAGGACGAAAGGGACACTCTCTGCAAGAAAGGTATCTAGGCGATTTTTACGGTTCTGTCTGCTTAGACGTCTGATGACCTGATGAATCTTCTCGAATCGAATGACAAATGACCAGCCCTTGAACAAGGCCTGCAATGAGACCAATCTGAGACGGAGCAATTGTCGTCGGGCAAACCACATTTGAGCTGCCAAGGATTTGACCTGGGAGCACATGGGACGTGTCTGACTCACCCTTGGGAAGTGGTTTTGACACAGTTGGCGTATTGCTTGTTCAACTTGGAAACATATGGAGACAGGATCACTCGACTGCGGTGAGGTGGTCAGGGTGCAAACTGTGTTCATGACTTCTGATTCGAAGGTGAGCCAATTCTCAGTCTATGACTGATATTCAAGCCTCAATCGATGGCGGTCGATCGAATTAATCGATTGGTTTAGACGGGGAGGTGCAAACCATTTAGATAAGGACATGACCAGGGGATGGTGCACAGGTGCACTGCTTCCAACAGTTCGTTCGAACCGAGTCAGTACCTAAGCACGATGTTTGGTCCACTGGACTTGATGACGGCGAACAAACATGAAGTCTATTCGACTGGAATGATCCCCGTGTTTGAACGTAGGTTGCCATTGATGTTGACAATGAACTGCAACCAAGTCCAGATCACGAATCAAGGTTTGAAAGTCTTGTTTATCGCATTGGGCGGCCTGACCGTACTTGGGATCACGGGAATGCACATGAGGTACGTCCGCGGTCAGGGGTGTGTTGCAATCACCTGCAAGGAGCAACATATGACTCTTTGGAACATGGTGAATGCATTAGCGGATGGCTTCAAAAACCTAGAATCTATTTTGAAGGAGGGTGTGACGATCTTTCAAAGAACTCCAGGAGTGCTAATAAATATAAATGATATCATGGATACGGGTTAAATGCAGGCGAACATGTATGAGTTGGCATTCATTCCAAGCAAGCTGATCAGGGCGCAGCAAGCGTCGACGGATCATGCAAAGGACAATGGCTCGATGGCCATGTGAATGCAACATATATACTGAAGCACCATCCAATTTCTTGCAAGATAGCCGCATCATACGATGTCTAAGAAAGCCAGGTCACCCATTCGTCCAGCAGTAGCCCATTAGAGGCATTCCAACAGAACACATTCAAGGATTCGGTATTCCAACAGAACACATTCAAGGATTCGGTAGGTTTGGAGTCGAAAAGCTAACCTTCATAGTTGGTGTGTTGGCATCTTGCATCAATTATTAACGAATCCTAAAAGAGATGTTAGAATACCAAAAATCCTTGCCACGATATTGTATGCAGCCATATTTGAAGGCCCGCTTGCAACCTCTATAAAAATTCCTCTTAATTCTTTTGCATCTGCATGGATTCACCCCAAATAGGGCGTAGCCTAATGTCGTCCAAACCTCGTAAATTTTCGCGCCTAGTCGTATATTAAACGGCACGACTACGACGCTCGATCTCTAACCGAAAGAAAGAAGGCATTGTAATCTCATAAAACTAGAAGAATATAATAATAATCCTCGCGCTAAGTCCAATTTTAAAAGCTAAACCTATATATACCATACCCCCTAAATTTGCGAGCAGGTATCTCAACGATCCAAATATCAAAATCAATAGCAAAATCGTAATCACCAAAAAAAAAACATATACACGAAAAAATACGAGAAACGATTACCGAGCTTAAAGCTAAAATAACGCTTATATCAATCGATTTCATTCAACATTCAAATAAATATACAAATACAATAACACATTATAATTATAATATTTTTATATCCATTATAATACGTCTTAACAAAATTACAATTTTTAGTAAAAATCATATCATTTTCCACAAAAACGAAACCCTCAACATAAATTTAAAATCGTACCATAACTAAATAAATCAACCAATAATTTTATCCATCGCTCATATATATATATATATTTTTTTCAATTAACATATAAATTATTAATATTTATAGAAACATATATACCGATCTTTAAAACTTCATTTATTTCCTAAAAAATATTATAAATAAATAAAACATACATTTATTAAATTAACTTTTTTGCAATGCATGAATTCATAGAACAATATTTCCACCTCAGCATACAGTACAAAACGGTTGTTAATAGCTCCCAAATACAGCAATTTAGGTTTGCATCACAACGCAACAAGAATGAAAAGGCCCCCAAGTGGGTGTTGTAGGGATGTCCCGACTTTTAAAGTCCATGATCAGCAAGCGCCTTTTCACCCGATGGCCGCGGTTTCGTTCAAAAAACGCCGCCAACACCTTTGCTCAGACCTCACCAGGACCAGGTTCAGCAGCCTCGATCACCTGAAGTGGAAAGACTAGGAAGGATCAGGAAAGCTCCAATGGCAAAACCTGTGCTCCAGTCTTACACCAAGTAACAACCCAACCGGTCATGTGGATTGCGTTTGAAGGTTCAAAACATTTGGAGTCGCTCGGATTCACATGCCCGAAGCAAAAAAGGCGATTCATCCAGCAGGTTTCAGGTCTGCTGGCCTCCCAAAGGGCAAAGCCATTTGTGTTCACGTTGCTGAAGTTGACTCGGTCGAACTTCACCTCAATGCCACGTGTCAAGTCCAGTTCAGCCAGCCGATCCAGTCCAACAATTCTTCGCGTGCGAAACATGAACAACTGTCATCCCTTTGCTTGCAAAGGTGATGAAGAACTTTCCAATACAATCCAACACGCGAGTTCTTATTGGGTTTGAACTTGGTTTTGTGGGTACGGTTATAGGTGATTCAATAGGTTTTGTTTCTTCCTTTCTTTTTTAATTTCCTTCCTTTGATACCCCCACCAGTGATATTCCGGAGGCTTCGTGATACTCCCGCCTCGGATCAACATTCGGCCCTTTACCACGCGGTTTTTACGTTCGAGCTACCCCTTGGCATTTCCTGAAACGGATCTCCGTGAATTCAAGTTACATGTCCGCAGGTCCCCCCCTCAATTCTTGTCGAGATTCGTGGGTGGCGATGTTCCATAGTGTTAGCTTTCCAACAAATTCCAAAAGCATCCAAAGGCTGTAAAGGAATTAGTAACTAAGATGTAACAAGAAGCTATACACTAGGCGGAGGCCATCGCTCTTAGGTTGGAGGCCATCGCACGGTTGGAACAAGATCAAGCCTATCACCGATTGCCAGGTTCAAGGCTCCGGACGGTCACCGGGTACTTCACTTCGGGCTTCTGGTTGACGTTCACCACCTGACCCCTGGTCTGATACCTCGCCACACCGGCCGCGGTTTGAACGTCTCACCACGCGGCTGTGCAGCAAATACCACGAGTTCACGTCACTGAGCATGGCACCAGTAGGACTCGGGTCGAAGGATCTTGACCCAAGAGCCCTTCTTCGGTCCGACCCAAGGGGCCTTCTCCTGAGGAAGGAGGCGGAGGATAACAGTTATGGAGGCCTTCTCCGGTACTTCGGTGCAAAGTGATTGTGCGACCATGTTTTGACTCTTTCCCATCTCCCGGTGCCTTCTTCTTGGCCTTGGCCTGCACAAACATAACGGAGGCTTCTAATATTGACAGGAGCCTCGCTTTTCAGGTTGGGTGTATTTAAGATTCTACACTGGGCCTCTGCTGAGAGAGCAGTGGAAGAGCTGCGGCCTGCAATCGTTGGTGCAGGTTGCATTGAGAATCAACAACAACTTTCCCTCGGAAACTGACTACTGGCAAGCCTTTCAAAAGTTCAGAAGCAACAGGATTTAGTGACCATTCAATTCTATTTTGAATCGCTGGACAGAATGTCTGAACGCTGCTACCGTGCCTGGAAGCCCGTTGCCCACAAAGCTAGTGCTGTGCAGCCCCAGTGCAGCTGCAACCTTTTAAACAAAACTGCTTTAATGAAAAACGACAAGGACAAAAACGATGTGTGGTCTGAAAGCTAGGGACCACTCTCCAGCCCTTGCATTGGATACGACAGGTCAACGTGTTGGAGTCAGAGATTGAAACCAGCAACGTGATGCAAGTGTGGCACATAGCTTAACAAATCATTGAGAGCTCAAAGGTCAAAAAACAAGTGGGGCTGTTGCTTATGTTCGAAGGTTGCATAGGAGTCACGTGCAAACAATTCGACCTTCTTCTATTGGTTGACATTCCGCGCATTTACCATGTGTTTCACATTGTTTCACGGACTCAGGCCCTCGCTACCAGAAGCACCAATCCCCGCAAACGCATGGCCTTGAAGAAACAGGCAGCGTCAAACGCTCCAGAATCACGATGGTCATCCTCTACTTGCATATTATGTGTTCTGTTGACCCAGTGATGCCTAAAGGACCTACTTGAGGCCTGTAGCTTTATCATGCTTTATATATCTGCATTTGGTTTTGAATGGATTGTTCTACTAGAAACTTACCAAGTAGGGTGAATGTTGTAGACCCTTCAGTTCATTTTGACTGGTATGTGCTTGACAGAACCGACAGCCTGTCATTAGACGATGTCATTCGACAGGACCCATTCGAGTGTTCCGAAGCCACTGAGATGGTCGGGCGGCGCAGGGCACAGCAGATCTCTGCTTTTTGGAGGAGAACGCAGTGTTTCGAATGGGTCATGTTAACCCGCAAAGGAGAAGGTAGACATCTGTTGCTCCGCCTAGTCTAGTCAACTCAGTCACAGTTCGGGCGAACCGGGCTCAACTTGGCCAGTACAGCCAGCACTGCAACGTGTTTCCCATCCACTGCCGTGAAAAGAAACAACGCGCACAGGGGCGGCTTGCTTGGGCTCCCGGCCATGTTCTTTTCACTGGAGTAAGTCCGGTGGGCGGGGGTTTGAGCGGCGGTTGGCTGCGAAGGTTTATGTAGCAACTCAATAGCTTCACGAATCACGTACAGTAGATGGTTTATGATGGTTTCAATTTCGTGGGTGATCTTCTTGTTTCAACATGTTAAGACTGCAACTTAGTTACAAAATAGACTATAATAGAGGGAAATAGCCTTTCTCCTGGGCCAAAACCAGTTTCCATCTTTCGTCTTCGCACGTCTTCGCTTAAGTCGAACGTCCAGCCATGGGAAAAAGAAGCGAAACTCAGGCTGTCACGCAAGTTGCGCAATTGAGACTCCACCTGGAGGCATAGCACAACGAGAAAAGCCTTTTTCTTCGCCTTCGAAGGATCCACAATGCGGTCCACCTTCGAAGGGTCTGCCCTGCCTTTTGGAGTTCTTCTTTGATGTTTTTGTACAAGCGGTATTCCTTCTCGATCGGCAGAATATCCTCAATGCGTTTCTCACACGTTTTCACCACAAAATCAACTCTTGGCAGCCAAAATCACTGATTTTTGTGTGAAAACAGGCAAACGGCTCGTTACATGGGTCGAGCGGCATGTCCGCATGTCCGACGCATCAGAGTAGATCGGACCCGTTCCGCCGCTAACACACCGCTGTCCTTGTGAAACCGGATCTTGCGGTGATGTTGAAGAACGAAATCTGGGGCAAGTAGCGGATTGGCGGTTACTTTCATCAAACTGATTGAAGGTTTGAACAGATTAGATGCCCGTTCAACCACAAAGGCCATCCATTTCCTTTGCAGCACTCCAGGCTTGCACTTCACTTGCTCGATTTCTCAAGTCACACGGGTGCTTCTCAGGCCCTCACTTTCTTGGAACTCTTTGAGTTTGGCTCGAATCGCACCTCAAAAGTGCCAAAACGTTTCAGCAAGCAATGTAATGTTGACTGATGATCAAAACCACATAAAGCCACTCTACCAGAATGGTCTCACAATGTATTACATTTCCATATGGTGGGTTTTACTGATCAACAGTCAACATTAGCACGTTCTTCACCTAATGAATAGCCAAAAACATGTGTTGCAGCAAAGGGCCTTTCTCCTGCTGGAGTGAGTTGGCCCGTGCCTCATGGCGCATGGCGACCATCGGCTCGACCATCGACCCACCGGAGATGACTCGCCTCCAACTGCCCGATTTGTTGTTCCGCCTTTTCTCGGGAAGACCTCCTGAGCCACGTGAACAACACACAAGCTGAAGAAATCGTCCTCTTCCCATGGCATACTCAGGTCGTTGCTTGTTACTTCCCGATCGCCTTAGCCGACCACAAACACTAAAGAAACATGCACAGTCACATGCACCGTAGAGACCGTAGTCATTTAGAATCCAATCAATCTACGGCCGGGTTGATCCAGGCAAACCCTGAAATATCCTGAAATCCTTTGCGTTGGGATCTTTGGCTTCCTGAGAAACGTCTGACATGGCAGCCTTTCCTCACGTATTTCAGCAATGCAGCATTGTGAGGGTCGCTGGGTGGCCCATGCGTTGGGCTTTACACCTTCGGGACTTCAATGAGGTTCGCGACTAGGGGAAAAGGCCAAGTGTGAGTAAGAAGGGCATCGCGGCATCGTAGAGATGCACTTGTTACTAGCAATGCCCCTGCTGGTGTCGGTCTTGTCACCGGCGACCGGTTGACGACCGGTCGCTTCTGAGCTCCGCACGAATCGCTTCCAGGTCTGACCGAGGGAGCCCAAAACGACGCGACGTTTTCGTGAGGAACTCCGTGCGTCTCAAAGGAGCAACAATGAGCAACATGTGCCTTTGACCTGTTTTGCCATGTTTCACTTGTGGTGCGAGACCTGTGGGGGGTCAGATTTGTTCTGAGACAAAGCCACATCAAGTTGCTAACCACTAATGGTTGATGCAAGGCATCAGTAGCGTCTGATTTTACTGAAAAGAAAACAGCGCCTGGCCAGCAAGTCATCATCGCTGTCTTGTTCTGGCATACAACACAGCCATAAAACAAAAGCTCGGCCAGTCCGATGCAATTTTCTGGTGTCAAATGCATCTTTACAAGGATTCAGGATTCGGTTTGGTCGGTCGGCTAGAGTGGCTGAGCAGGGATTCTTCAACTGGCCTCGTGCTCCTCCTGAGTCTGCACTGGCGAGCTGGTTCTTCAACCGCCTCGCAAAGCAAAAACCATGGGCAGTGAAAAGCACACATTTCTGAATCATTATTCCGCTCTATGAGTTCTAGCCCCCACCTGTAGTACAAATACAAAGGTCTCATCACCTCCTTCTGTGAATGATTTGGAAGCACCTTGAACCTGAGGCAAGTGAGTTTGGCCCCACTGTTGGGCAGGTTCGGGTGGTGCAAAACTCTAGGCAGTCAAACTGTTTCTTCCAATCCGTGTCATAGCGCTTCAGCTCCTGCAGGGCATGATTCTGCAAATCAAAGGCATCTTGCGCGATCCGAATCATAAAAACCCTGTTATTTTTTCAAGATAAAGAAAGGTGTTCTGCACGCCCGTCCGCTTTGACACGCTTCTTTTCGTGGCTGAGCTCTGATTTGCCTGCATCAAGGAACCACGTATGCGTTCGATGCGTTGATGTGGAGAGACCCACAATGTACATTCGTACAAGAACATGATGAGAATGAACGCAATCAAACAATTGAACAACACACACACACTCGACAAGTTAGGACGTACATGAACGTACAGTGGGAATGCCCAGCCGCCAGCCCCGAAGAAACTTAGTGAGTAGTCCAGGTACAGCTAGACATGAGGAACAAACAGGTCTCGAGTCAGTAACTGCACCATTATGGCTTAGCCACGACATAAACCATGCAACCAATTTAAAGAATTCGACAGCGTGATCAACACTTCTTGCAGGTACGTACCAACACACCCACAAAACTCTAGGCCAGCGCCCCTGCGAAAGCCACACTCCGATATGGACCAGGAAAACCACGTGTTTGTATAGGAAAAAAGTCTTTCCAGTCGTAATCTTCCACTTCCATGACTGTTTCAGGGAGTGTAACTAACCCACTTTGCTGGACAGGTTTCTCCAAGTCCCAGGCTCAAACCGGTTATTCTCCTTGAGCTGAGCATCTCCTAGCGGAGCATCGACTGGTCAAACCACAAGTCTAGAGCGATACCACATTCCCTTCGTCTTCAGCACTGGTCAACATTGTGACATGCATCAACTGCGATGGTGAACATATATGAACATGGACGCTAGTAGTAACAAGTGCCTCGCTAGTAGTAACATGCGTCTCTCAACCTCGAACGGGACAAACGGGGGTCCCGGTCTCACTCGTTCGGTCACCAGCCGCGCCCGGTCTCGACCGCTCCTCTGCGAGCTCTAAGCGACGCAAGGCACTGAGATAGCGCTGTTTCCGCTCCTGTGGTGGCCAAACGAACGGCCACCCTGCGGGTTGGCCGCCAGCATTTCTGCCCAACGGACAGGTTGGAAGTGATAGCATCCAAAAACTGTTTCGTGTGATGCACAACATGTCGTAATGTAGACTCTTGATGAAGAAAACCACCCATTTGGATTGGGACACGTCTTGATATGGTGGTTTTATTACGTTCATTAATTAAGTGGTCCTATCCGACAATATCCACAATGGTGCATTGATTCATATTTGCTTTCAGCATCCAGTCGATCATTGCTCCTCAGCACTCCAAGATAAGATCGGGCCTTCGCCAATGACATCACCCATCTCCGCCCTGGCGATATCGTTGGGCGACGCACGGAAACCGACCGCACGAACGTCAGACGACTGGGTGGAGCGAACGAACGAAGTCAGACGCGGTCTCCGCACCCGAACTCGTCAAGCTCCACATCATTGACCCACTGCGGAGGAATTGGCTTGACCTCGCTTGGCACGCCTCCAGACCCCGGCTTGTATGGGAAATGGAACGAACTGTGCACCACCCGGCGGACACTAAGATCAAGGCGCTATCAGGTACTACGGAGACATCAATGTTCATGAAAGGATGTACATAGTCATTTTTGAACCTGAGCTTGAAGCCGGTATATAAACGGAAGCAGTGTCTGCAACTGTCAACTGTGCCAGCTGAATGCAGCAAAGTGTTGCATTCATTCATTTTGTTTGTCTCTTGTTGTGTCTCACTCAGCTTCAAACAACTCTGAAACATAGAAAGTCAGACTCTCTCCAAGGACTTCTTTCACCTTGGAGAGCAGGAAACTATTTTTGACTCACAGTCAGCGGCTAGTACGACATAGTACAACTGTTCCGGATTGACCGCTTGATTTCTCTGGGCTATCTACATTCGCGACAGCCGCCATGTCAAGGCAGTGCTGCACGCGTGTTTGTGTGGGTGTGATATGCAGGATCAAATGCACACAAAATGATAAAGCAAGGACCACTCATTGCAAGGGCCACTATAGTAGTACACATACTACTGTCTTTGCAAAGCAAGCCATCATTTTAGGTTTGCGGCCAATGGGACTGAGCGAAGGGTTTTTCAGTATCATCCCATGAAAAAGGTGAAGAAGGAAGGCTGAGGGGCCCCAGTGAGGGGTGTTACACAGTGTGCTCGTGTCGGACGTGCAGAACTGCTACACTGCCGCTGCACGCGGCTACGGAAGATTTCAAGCCAACTCCAAAGCTCCATCGATACGCTCCTCACATGTTCAACTTGCAAATAATAGCAGCTTCTTGCTACTAGTAGTATGGCCAGGAGCTACTAATAGCGTTCTTGCTCCTAGTAGCGATGCCCGGTTTACTACTAGCGATGGCCTCCAACCTGATTTCAACTTGCAAATCATCTTTATCATTCAACAATTTTCACATCTTCCAATAATCAACTTGACTCCACCACTCTTTGGCAACTCGCAAGCGATGTTTCCGTGTCGCTGCCTCCAAGCCTTCTCCCGCGTTTGCGGAACGGCTTGTCACAGAGTCAATCAAGAGTATTCACGTTTCTACACTTCGTGTGGCTGAAATACAACAACCTTGGACCCACACGCTTTGGCCTGGTCAGTCTTGTACCAACGGGATTTGGATCTTACCTTCTTTTGCAAGCCATAGTCATTTGGCCCCTGAAGAATTGCGAGTTCCAAGCTTCCGTACTTCTCCGCTTTCCCTATTTCGCTTTCGCAGAGTCCCAGAATTTACGCATGAAGGCCTGGCGAGTTCAGGTCATACCCAGTCACCGGCCGCATGAAGTCCTTGGCCAAACTCCTGAGACTGCTGGGACTACAGTCCTCACCCAGAAACACCCAAAGGGTTCACTCTGTGGGTGTTGGGATAACATTGGGTGGGTCAAGGAATTGAGCAAGTAACTACAAACCAATCTGTCCTTGCTGCGCATTGGACATTCTCTGAATAACTGAAGAACTATATACTACTGTAATGCCCAACCAATGGAATGAATTCTCCTTGCGACTTGGAACATGTCGCTAAAACAGTTTGGCCAAGTCAGTCCTCTGCCTCGCGACAAGTGCTTCTCCAAAAGCTGCAACTCTCGCTTGTACAGTGCCTGCAAGCTCATTGCAAGTTCTTCTTGGTCAGACCAACACAAAGTGAACCTTTTGTAAACATGTTGAGACACGCATCTATCAATCGGTGCATCACTTTGGAGAAAGGATACTTGATCACCAGTGTATTTTTTGCGATGTTTTCAAAGTATTGGGTGATGCAGGAAGCTCCTTCCAACGGCAACAAAACCATGCTGGTACCTAGTGATGTCCCCTGACTGAAGAGGAACAATGGAACTAAATAAACATAAGACATGTGGGACACCTCCGCAATAAAGGAGACTCATCTTGGAAAGGGCCATGTTCCACCAACACATGTCATTGGGGGGATGGAAATGGGTATCAAGATAGACAAATCAACGAAAATCCAATGGCTGGGCGTCTCTTTTTCTGATCATAGTTACATACCTCAATACGACCAGAGTGGCCAGACCTGAGTGACCTGGCTCACCTGACATTTCCATGGCTCAACAGCTTTACCTAGTGTTGCATCTGAAATGGTCTGTGGCTTTCTGGGCATCTGTAATTTCTATATACTGTGAAATTATCAACAATGTCATGAAGCAGAGTTCATGGTTTGTCATTCAATTCGTCTCCACCCCAATCTCTTTCATCTATTTGCAACGGTTTCCGCGACTTCTATCTCCAGCGACCACTCCAACAAACTCCAACAAATGCTGTTTGGTATCAAACCCCGCCAACTTTCTGCCAATCTTAAAATCTTAATGGGATTTGTTTGTCTTCTCAAAACCATCCTTGCAGGTATAGACTCAGCGATGATCCCCTACATTTGAATAACAATTCATCCTTCAATCGAATCGCCGTCAATCGAATGCGCAACCTCTGTAAGATCTCAAGCGACAACGGACCACACTAGAGATTGGCCAAGCCTCTGCTTTGAAGTCTTCTCAACGTACTGGCGGCAGGACAGGTAGTGCGGGAGAAAGTCAGAACTCCTTGGTCCTCAACATGGGAATCCAGCTTGGACAAACTCGATTCTTCCAAGTCTAGTGAGACCTGGGCGGGAATTTAAGACTCGAAATCAAGCTTGCTGGTTATCCTCAGAATCGTGACTGTCAAAGGCCCGCACATCTCAACGAATGTCAAACATACTGTACATTAATGCTCCGTCTTTCTGATTTCACTGAACCTGGACAGTATGGCGGTCTGACTAAATTCATTCTCTTGCGTGATGCCTGCTGCAGGACATGAGTCTCATCAAAAATGGATCGCGAAAGAATGCATGTTGTGCCCAAGGCCGCACAACAAGGCACATCAGCCACAGTAGCACTTCAAAAGGTCACTGTGCTTGTGCTTGTTCAAAACAGTCAAATGATATCCAGTAATTGGAATGGCCTTTTGACTATTGTTCAGCTCATCCTTCTTCTTTCTTCCCTTCACTTACTGGGATTCTGCATTCTTCGATTCTCCAAGTCTGGTGCAGGCCCTCTGGAACTTCCTCCTCAAAGTCATTGTCTTCAGGGTAGGAATATAGAAGGTCAAGTTCTCCAGGTGTAAAACATATACAAGCTTTGTGGATGAAGGCCAGGGAAGCCACGAAAAAAAGGAACACAACTGAAGTCTCTTGATGGCCGAGGCCATAGAGAATGCCAAGCAAATCAGCTGAACGAAGGTGTAGAAAGAGATAATTCTTTGGCTTCCAAGTGAGCCACAGCTCAACAAAACGATCACAGAGGTTGTTGCCAGGGATGCAATGCCCATGAAGAAAATACCCTGAAGAACTGCACGAGGAAAGAACTGGCCCCGCAAAGGGATCAGAAAGACCATCACCAAGTTTAAGTTGGCCGCAGCGGAGAGATAGATCACTGGTCTACATTGATAGAAAGGCAAAAGCCGAAGCAAGGGAGATGCCAGAGAAAAGTTTGCTAGTACGGGTCAATTCAGCGGTCGCAGCATCCAAGGTTGGACTGCTGGCCATTTGTGCCATCCAGGATCCGGGAAGCGGCATTCGAAAGTGGCTGAGGTAAAGGATCGTTGAGAGCTGGCAAAAGCTGTTTAACCATGGAACTCAAAGATTCTCAAAGAGTAGATGCTTCTGTCCTCCAGGAAGACCCGCTCGCCACATCTCCTCGGGTTTCTGTGCTGAAACTCCGGGCCCTACCCATTTCCTAAATTTGACCGGAACTGGAATGGAGTGCTGGGCGCAAAACATTGCAAAACCCAGCCTTTGATCCTGAATCTGAAAGAAGGGTGAGTGCTTGATGTTTTTTCTGCACTGAATGGGTTGAAAGCGACAAATCCTTCCGTCTCAATCCTCCTAACGATAAAATCTGGAAGTCTGAAGCAATTGCCCATCTCAGCCGGGGTTCCCCACACAGAATGCGCCAAAAACAAGTCCAGCAAATGGGTGGTCCATACCATCTGGCCGAGTCAAATGGTAGAAACGTCTAGAAACTGGAAACTGCCTGCCTCACGCATGCCTCGTTCTGAGTGTTCGTGAGACTTGCTTTTTTCCTCCCTCAAAATGCCTCAGCAACAGTTGCTTTCAAACCTTGGATCTAAAAACTGCCTCTCTGCTTGACCCCGAAAAAAATGACATTCAATCAACATCCGACAGACAAATGCGCTGCATTCGCGGGGCGTTTGAACACTCGCAGAAACTGACATGGTTCAAGGGAGGTGCTCAGGGAACACAGCCTTGGTTCGCGGTCCCCCCAGTCAATCCTGGTCCGTCCTCAAATCCAAGAATTTCACCCACCGATGGTTGAACTAAACATTCCCAAACCAAACCAAACATTCCCAAACCGCTCTCTACTCTCTCCACACCCTTCCGCGCCCCAGGTTACTACGTCACGTTCAGTACCTACCAATCGTCCGTTCAGTCGTTCCGCTCCTCCACCCTCCGAACGACTCGCCAAACCTCTCACCGACGCAAACGGCCCGACTCGTCTTCGTGTCGACGCCCTCCCCTGCCGCAGCTCGCGTCCTCGGTGTCGTCCGCCGTGCTCGGTGTCGCCACTCAAATCCGTCCTGGCGCGGTGCGGACGACGTCCGGGCGGTAGTTGTACAAGGCTTTAGCTTCTTCTGGTGATTTGTGGTGAGGTGTCCACATTTAGGGGATAAGTGTATCTCTCTCTCTATATGTATATTATACATATTGTGTAATATTGTGTATAGGGTTTTTACGTCCTTGATTGTTGGAGGGAGTATATTGTGTTCGACTCAGAATTCCGCAAGTTGCTGGTCAGGTCGATGGAACAGTGACCCATCGACCACTGAACAAGTACTGGAAATGGTGAAGCTGCAGGCGAAGTCTGAGTCGATACAGGCGAAGTCTGAGTCGATACGATTAGCCTGGGCCTGAAATCAAAAACTGCTCAAATTATTGACACAATCAATCACACATGCAAGCAAAGAGTAATACATAATACAACGTGACTGCACACGTCTGAAGCGAAGCGCTGTAACGTGTCAAGAAGGGCTTCCGAATGCTTCCGAGAATGGTGAAAGCTTGCATGAGCTAATGCATCCTAGAAAACAAATGTTTTGAGTATGTCTCCAGGTCCAGTCTGGAGCGAATCAATCAACCACCAGCAGCAAGATTCAAACATGACTTTCAACTTCAGTAGTGCACCTCAAGTGTATGCATGTGAATGCAAACACTCAACCCTTGAAGCCAATCTAAGACAGCACTAATCATAGGTTACAGATTCTAGCTGCAATTTGTTTCAATTCATAGCAAATGACATATCGTCCAACCGAGTTTGAGAAGGCTAGGAGCCTAGCTCCGGTTTTCAACCAAAAACTCTGGGTGCAAACCGCAATTTGGTTCTTCGTCTGTGATCCCGTGTCCTGGAGAAGCTTTGGCCACATCAAGGCAGCACAAATGGAAGGCCCAAGACCTGGCAGCTCTCGCCTCGCGCCCTACACGCTGCGATCTTCATCTTTTCCACACGGTTCGGAAGATCGCACCCAGTGGTCCCAAAGGCAAGAGGACGCGGACCCGAACGGAACGGAGCGATCGGAGGCTACGAACGTATCTCCTGGCCTTACGAACGGAGCGATCGGACGCTACGAACGGAACAAACCGAGTGTTCTCCGGGGTTCCCCAGAAAGTCCGACCCTACCGATGGTTTGATCTGAGGATGCGCTTCCCGAACCACGATGGAGGAGGCCTCCGTGAGGAGGGTGACTAGATGTGACTAGGGTTATACTAGGATATACTAGGTAATGTTGAGATAGGACTTGTGGCCAAAAGTGAGTTGTGATTTTCACGATCGTTTTACAACTCCTATCTCATTTTTACCTAGTATACAGCCAAATCTTTGGAAAAAAACACCTTGGAACTCGTTGGCATCCATTGGACCTACCATCGTTAGCGGTCGAACGGTCCACCGAGCTGGGCATTCCGAGCGCATCACGCGCGAGACCCAGCTCCGAAGCTCGCGTGTCCTGGGGAGAGTTCGGCAGTTCTTGGGCTTTTCATCCAGAAACCTCCGAATCTGGGAATCTTGAACTAACGGTATACCTTCTTTTCTTTGGCTCATGGGACATTCATAGAGGCGGAAGACGATGGCACACGTCTCAGTCTCCTCGTTCTTGCGGCGGTTCTGGCGCCGCTTCTGCGCCGCATCCTCAGCCTCTTGCCTGAGTTTTGTGCGTGTGTGTGGGGTGGTGACGTGACTGTTTCTCATGGTATGTCTCACCACTACCGATTCTCCCGCTTGCAGGTCTTTGCCGCGTTGAGGACAATTTGCACTTCGCAGGATGAAACATTCGTTGATCACACATTTTCATGGATTGATCTGTCTCACCCATCGCACACCACGAATCGTTGCACCTCACAGCAACATGCAAAGTTCAACTTTGTTTCACGGTGTTTCTCGTTTCTTTGTCTGTTCTGTTGGACACCATGCCCACGACTCCACCGGACGGGTCATCGGCCTCAGCTGCTGCGCCAGCTCCACTGCCTTGGCCACCGCCGAGGTGTCCACCGGTGCGGTGTTCGCCTCGGCCATATATATGCGGCCAATGCGGCCGTCCGTCCGTTGCACAAACGATGAACATACATCATTGATCACAACAGCATTTGAATGCATTTGATGTCCAAAGAAACACACATATATGTATAATTATATAGTATAATAATGTACAGTATATAGTAATTACTCTTTTGGCTATATTCTTAAATTTATGGTTCATTGACTACTGTTCGGGACTTCTCCCTCACGTCGTTCCCTTGCTTAAGCGGCGGTCCTCCTCTCCGGAGCTGGCTTCAGACTGCCTTGGACGGCCAACTTGTTTCCTAAAGGGAAAATATGAACTTCGCTGCAAATATCAGTGATATCAGCACGCAAAAAGACACTTGGGGCAATTTCTCCAAGAACACATTTGTCAATTTGGTGAACTTGTGTGAACTTCTATTTCTGACGTAACATGAAATTGTCTGAACCTCAACTTTTATCAGCTGTATATGAAGATCGGCATTTAACTCTGAGCGGAACTGGGCCTTCTCATGCCGAGGGAATCCACAAAGGGCCAAAGAATTACATATTCACCACACACCACCAATCCATCACCACACACCCTTCTACTAGACATGAGAATAAGGCTTCGCTAGGTCCTAATTCAAAACCCCATCGGGCCGACAGCTGAGCCCATGGCGAGCTGTCCTCCGATGCAATGTGTCCCGGACCAAACAAAACGCTATTTGTTGTAAACTGAACAATCATTAAATATGAAGCCCTTCCAGCTTGGAACTTGTGCTCTTTTTCTGTGCAAGAGGCCAGTTTGGTGCAAGCAAAGCCATGCTGCATTTCACATGGCGTTCAACAGCAGCAATCGGCAGCAGCCGTGATTACCAGCACACCATGTTGCAATGGAATGTAAAGCATGTAACACCTGAAAACATGGATGACACAAAAAGCTCATGGCCTTCATCCAAGGCACTGCAGTCGCACCCTTGGACTTGCTAAAGTTGTGAAGCTGGGCAACAAGAACTGCTCAGTCTGCTCCAAACCTCTTCAATGTCACCCTCAAGGACTCCCATATACTCCACCCTAGTAGCGATGGCCTCCACCCTGATAGCGAAGGATGGCTTCACCTTAATAAATAGCGATGGATGGCCTCCAACCCAAGAGCGATGGCTGGCCTCCAACCTAAAAGCGATGGCCTCCAACCTAAGAGCCATGGCCTCCAACCTAAGTGCCATAGCCTCCAACCTAAGAGCGATGACGCCAGGGCCTCCAACCTATGAGCGACGGCCTCCAACCTATGAGCGATGGCCTCCAACCTAAGAGCGATGGCCTCCACCCTGATAGCGATGGATGGCTTCACCTAAATAAATAGCGATGGATGGAATCCAACCCAAGAGCGATGGCTGGCCTCCAACCTAAGAGCGACGGCCTCCAACCTAAGGGCGATGGCCTCCAACCTGGGAGCGATGGCCTCCAACCTATGAGCGATGGCCTCCAACCTATGAGCGATGGATGGCCTCCAACCTATGAGCGACGGCCTCCAACCTAAGAGCGATGGCCTCCACCCTGACAGCGATGGATGGCCTCACCTTAATAGCGATGGATGGCCTCCACCCTGATAGCAATGGATGGCCTCCAACGTAAGGGCGATGGCCTCCAACCTACGAGCGATGGCCTCCAACCTATGAGCGACGGCCTCCAACCTATGAGCGACGGCCTCCAACCTAAGAGCGATGGCCT